TCTCTCTCTCTCTCTCTCTCTTTCTGTTTAAAAGTACTGCAATTTAAAATGGTTGAGAACATTTGTTACTAGATAAATTATTATTTCTGTCATTAAAATCATATGATTTATGTAAGCTTTATTTGCAAATTCATTATGTATTCATTTAAACAATAAATAAATTATACACGATATACTTTGAAGGTAATTTACCATACGATATATGTTTTGAACAAAATTAACTTTAATTTTATTTAAAAAATATGATAGATTAATACATTAATGGAAAATAAAATTTCCAATGGAAAGTTACTTTATATTTAAAAACTCCAATATTTATCACTTGAAATAATCTTTATTATTATTTATGCCGTATATTTATAATGACATTCATTTTTGTTTTAAAAAACACAAGTATTGGCAATCATTATGATAAATAATTATTAATTTATATTTTAATACTGTGCAACATCTCTTGGAAAAACTTCTCTTAGGGAAACACCTCCTCATAAGGAACGGTTTTTATATATTTATTGGATTTCGTATACTTATAATGTTAAAACAACATCTCTTAGATAAACTTCTTCATATGCACTTTCCCATTGACAATTGATTTATGAAAATCTAGACAAGATTAGCACTCTTTATAAAATAAAACTAGCAAACATTAACTGGCCGTTTCTTATAGAGAAATTACACTGTATTTTCAAAATAGTATTTAAGTTTCTTATAGAAAACATGTCTTATGTTATCTTTGATAACTAGTGATAAAACAAACAAAATATTGAAAACAATATAAATTCAACAGAAATTATGTGATTGTTATTTGAAATTGATTAATGATTTTCATTGAAACCATAACTAACATACATTAATGTGTAAATGCTAAATGCTAAACATTTACTTTGCGGCAATTTTTTTACAACAATCCCATATTTAGCAGTAATAGAAATAAAATTATTACATTTCACTAAATTTATTGATATAATTCACAATGAATTGAATCGATCTTTGTAAAACATAACAATCTTCATGTAAAAATTGTGCACAAACTTGCTTTTAAATTAATTCCCACATTACATACAATTTGTGATACAAAACGTGTTATCAGCTGAAATTTAGCTGAATGTATAACATTTATATTATAAATCATCTAGATTTTTTTGTTTATTTTAAAAAACCTATTTGATTGGAATTGTTATTATAAGCTTTGGCCTAAAAAATAAATGTATAGACAATGTATAACTAATTTTTCTGTGATAATTAATTTATAGCAAAACATTCATTAAAAAAAATTTGATAAAATTTTCTATATTTTTAAATATTTTTTATTAATATGAAAACTTTTATAACAAAAGCAATAATTTTATTATCGGTAATAAATTGTGGCGAAACTAATGTATCGTCGGTTTCGTGGGTTAAACTCATTGATAGGACGAGTGATTGGATTCATAAGACATCTCTTGTCTTAGAAAAGGATATCATTGCCATAAATGTGTTGCAAAACATATCAAATGCCTGTAACGACAGTATATGGCAAACATTTAATAGTGTAAAAAATTTGGATGTGTGGGCCGTCCAGATGATGAACTCTTGGGGCACATTTCCACCACGAGGTGCACTCTTGGGAACAAATACCGATTTTGGCTCTTATGACCAGTGCCTGGCCATTGAGCCCAACACTGTTATCAATGAACCCCAATATTGTTTGATTGATATATCGCCGCCAATACCCAAATCTATGCCAATTCATCACAATCTTTATCATCAAATCAATATCCATATGAATATATCCCAAAAATACGACAATCATAACGAGAATGTATTCAAATCGTACTCAGAATTTGCATCATTTCATTACTGGATTTCATTTCGGACGGCTATCTGTACGCCATCTAAGTGTACGCCAAATGATGTCTCATTACTGGCCAATGGATTCGCCGATTATTATGGACTCGAGTTAAAGCAGATCCGATGCGAGACAAAGGATACTGTTATAAGGATAACTAATATACAAATTATAGCTATGTATGGCATTGATATTAACTGTAATAATATTTTGTTTGTAACTTAATTATAAACATTGTTTAGCATATTTTTGACGACAACTATATTGATCTCAATATTGACCACAATATTAGAGAAAGCATTACAAATGAGAGCAAACATTCAAAACTCATTATTAGTGGACATGTTTTCGCTGACGAGGAATACAAAGTGTTTGCTATCAAACGAATCGTCCGAAAGGTTTGCCTGTATTCACGGCTTAAGAGTGTTAACATTGGTTTGGGTGGTGTTCTCGCACTCAACCGAATGGACAAACTTTCAGCTCTTCAGCCGATCCTTTAGAGTGAGAAAAATGTTTACAACAATTGAGAGTCAATTAGTATTGAACGGCGAATACGCTGTCGAAAACTTTTTCTTCATTGGGTATTAAACTTATAAATAACTTTTTTTAATTGAAAACTAAACTTTACATTAATTAAACATTTAAAGGTCTCACTTTTAATTGACTGTATAATTACAAAATATTTTATTTAGCATTTACAAACTCAATAATTATTATTAAGTGCTAAACTATAATTATTTGTTTACTCCAGAGGAATGTTGACCAGTTTCATATCACTCAAATACACGAGTGGCAAACTTTACCGCTTCAATGCACTGGGCTTTCTGTTGGTCAGATATTTACGGCTCACACCACAGCTCTTTGTGTTCATGTTATTAACATTTGTGTTGCCGTTGGGCGGGTGGGCGTCGGGCCCTCTCTGGCGGGAGACCATAACCCCCATCATTGATAATTGCAGCACCAATTGGTGGTGGAATGTATTTTATATCCAAAATCTATTCAAAGCGCCCTCGAAAGGTTTGCCTGTATTCACGGCTTAAGAGTGTTAACATTGGTTTGGGTGGTGTTCTCGCACTCAACCGAATGGACAAACTTTCAGCTCTTCAGCCGATCCTTTAGAGTGAGAAAAATGTTTACATCAATTGAAAGCCAATTAGTATTGAACGGCGAATACGCCGTCGAAAACTTTTTCTTCATCGGGTATTAAACTTATAAATAACTTTTTTAAATTGGAAACTAAACTTTACATTAATTAAACATTTAAAGGTCTCACTTTGAATTGACTGTATAATTACAAAATATTTTATTTAGTATTTACAAACTCAATAATTATTACAATAATTAAGTGCTAAACTCTAATTACTTGTTTACTCCAGAGGAATGTTGACCAGTTTTATATCACTCAAATACACGAGTGGCAAACTTTACCGCTTCAATGCACTGGGCTTTCTGTTGGTCAGATATTTACGGCTCACACCACAGCTCTTTGTGTTCATGTTATTAACATTTCTGATGCCGTTGGGCGGGTGGGCGTCGGGCCCTCTCTGGCGGGAGACTATAACCCCCATCATTGATAATTGCAGCACCAATTGGTGGTGGAATGTATTTTATATCCAAAATCTATTCAAAGCGCCCCAAATCTGTGCCATTCACTCTTGGTTTCTGGCCTGTGATATGCAATACCATTGGTTCTCACTATTGCTGGTCATACCAGTGCTCTACCGCTTTAGATTAGGTGTTGTGCTCGCAATCGGCACAATTGTCTTGTGTTATGTTATATCAATCATTATCGGCAACGCATACGATCTGCCCCCGGGTCTCATCAACACCGGTCGGGATCAGCACTTTCTCTGCTATTACATCGATCTCTTTTACATCAAGCCGTGGTCTCATTCAACCGTATTCTTCATCGGATTCCTCTTCGGTCTCATCGCTTATAAAAACAAAACCAAGAAATTAGATCAGGTTTTTCTCACATCTACTTTAATAACAATCAAATTTAATTTAATATATATTTTAAACATGCGATCAACAGAAATACCGATTCTGTATAATTGTGTCGGCAATTATTGGTTACATCGCGTGTCTTATGGATACCTATCACTGGAATGATGGCAAACCTCATACCAGCCTATTATCAGCCCTAATATTTTCAACATGTGGTGGAATGTATTTTATATCCAAAATCTATTCAAAGCGCCCCAAATCTGTGCCATTCACTCTTGGTTTCTGGCCTGTGATATGCAATACCATTGGTTCTCACTATTGCTGGTCATACCAGTGCTCTACCGCTTTAGATTAGGTGTTGTGCTCACAATCGGCACAATTGTCTTGTTTTATATCATATCAATCATTATCGGCAACGCATACGATCTGCCCCCGGGTCTCATCAACACCGGTCGGGATCAGCACTTTCTCCTCTATTACATCGATCTCTTCTACATCAAGCCGTGGTCTCATTCAACCGTATTCTTCATTGGATTCCTCTTCGGTCTCATCGCTTATAAAAACAAAACCAAGAAATTAGATCAGGTTTTTCTCTCATCTACTTTAATAACAATCAAATTTGATTTAATATATATTTTAAACATGCGATCAATAGAAATACCGATTCTGTATAATTGTGTCGGCAATTATTGGTTACATCGCGTGTCTTATGGATACCTATCACTGGAATGATGGCAAACCTCATACCAGCCTATTATCAGCCCTAATATTTTCAACATGTCGTGTGGTGTGGGCGCTGTCCACCGGAGCGCTGGTGTGGCTCTGTATTAGCGGTAACGGAGGTTTCATCGACCGGTGCCTCTCAGCCCCTATACTTATACCCCTTTCCCGACTCACGTATTCCGTGTATTTGACACACGTGTGGGTTATTTGGGTTTTTGTGGGCACCAGACGGGAGAGGATTGACGCAAATGTAATGGAAATTATGCTAATATTTATTCACAATTTAGTCATCTCTTATATAATCGGCTTTCTGTTCGCCCTATTGTTTGAGATGCCAGTCATTAAACTTCAAAAGCGTTTAACAAAACGTTTTGTTAAAACGGTTGACAGACCCGAAGAGACCGAACTTGCAGTTAAGGTAATTCAATAAATATTAAGTTTTAAAGTTTTAATTCAAAACAGCAATTAATGTTTAGTTTATGACAAAAAATAAGCATATTTTATATAAATAATTGTTTAACAAAATTAAATAATTTTATAATAACTTATAATATAACCGAAATATAATCACATGAAAATGTAAATCAGCTTAAATTATATGATTAGAAAATGTGCTTTTTATTTGAATTTGTTAACTGTTTTACCCATCAGTTTAAGTGCCATTAAGAAGACAAGACTATTAGGAGACAAGACTATAGCACTTATTCAAGAATACCTCTACTTCTTCGGATCACTTTAACAAAGACACTGTTGGGAGTGATTGACGAAAACATTTCATTAGTTGAGTGGTATTGTAATGACTGTAATCAACAGCAAAATAGACAAACAAAAAACATATGAATAAATCTAAATACAAATACAATTTAAAATGCAAAATAAATGAAAGCATACTTTGGTTTCCTTGCATTTGGCGAAACGATAGTTCTTGAGTAGACTTATGATACATAACTTGATCTCGAGTAACGCCACTGACATCGCGGGACAATCTCGGGGTCCGTCGCCGCCAAACGCCAGAAACGAGCGCTTCATCTTCTTTGAGGACTTATCGTTGAGCACAAACCTCTCGGGTTTGAATGACTCGGGTTTTGGCCAGTAATCCGGGTCTCTGTGCACAGCACTGACCGGAATAAATATTTGACAGCCTTTAGGCACACATATGTCGCCTAATTTAACCGCTTTTGTGGCCTTTCGTTTGATTATAGGCACGGGTGGGTACAGTCGGAGCGTCTCTCTAATACATGCGTCCAAATACTCCATCGACTCTATTGTCTCTAGAAATCCATTTCCTTCATCTGACTCTCCTTTTTCTTCTTCCTTTACTTTTTCTTCATTCATGTCTTTATTTTCACTTTTTTCTTCATTTTTATCATTGATTTTCACTTTGTTTTCCTCTTCGTTCTCATCCTTCGCCTCTTTGTTGTCGCTTTTATTGTTGGGCTTTTCATCAAAGACATCGTCAATCTCTTTGATCAGTTTCTGTTGAATCACTTGATTGGCCGCCAAATGATGGATCAGATGGCAAACAGTTGTCATTGAGGTTTTAAATCCCATGATTGCGAACAGAATAGAGTTGTCTATAATTTGTTTCTTCGATAAGCCTTTGGTATGAAAAATAAAATTATTGTTATTTTTTGTGTTGCGAAAGATATGGCAAAAAAATCATTTCATTGTTTGTCATTTGGATTAACTATTAATACATAAAACTAACACAAAGTTATTAATAAAACTTAAAACAATAGCAAAACAAAACTAATCTCAAACATACAGTCGTCGCCGTCGGCGCCCTTATTAGCGTCGGATAACATAAAAAGTATACAATTCTTGCATTCGTCTACTTTTCGGTTGGCGTATAAGTGGTCGACGATTGCGTTGATCTCCGCCAACGCCCTGTCGTCGACGGTCTTGACATTCAAAAGCTGTTTAATTCTTGCGGACAATTTGCCAACTCTTGTGTCCATTTCGTTAGTCGTCATGAATTTATTCAAAGCGTCGATCAGTTGTTTCTGTATAACGCCCTGTCGTCGACGGTCTTGACATTCAAAAGCTGTTTAATTCTTGCGGACAATTTGCCAACTCTTGTGTCCATTTCGTTAGTCGTCATGAATTTATTCAAAGCGTCGATCAGTTGTTTCTGTAATTTCTGGTCAATAGCGCCGCCGAAACAACAATTCACATACGCTTTCATTGCAAACATATTTAAGAAAACTTTTAAATCCAAAAACTGTTCGTAATTTAGGATTTGGTTTATAAGATCCGTGAACTCGTAATTGGTTTTCCAGAAATGTTTACTCATTTCCAGCATATTCTTCGGGCAAAACGCTTTCCGCACCACTGATGAGTGTTTTGGCCATTCATTCACGCCATCACTCCATAACATACTATCGCCCAACACTTTACCCCTTCCTATACATCTCTGTCGGGTATTATTTAAAATAAAATTTACTGATTTGTAATAAGCTGTGAAAAATGAGATTATTTTAACTAAAAACAACTTACTTTGCGTTCAGAAAAGTAGTCAAACTTTTTCACCAAAACCTCGTTTATGAGCTTTGCGTCTCTGATCACCACAACTGGCGATAGATATTCATAAGTGCTGTCATATTAAATGAATTAAAGTTTAATATAGTTTTTATAAAATGTTAATTAAATAATTATTATGCGCTTTAAATACCATATAATTTTGGGTAACTGTTGAATGTGTTGCTGATCTGCCGGACAGTAATCTTTACAATAGGGTATTGAAGCATAGTTTAGAAAGTAAGGCTGTTTTTGTCGCCTCCAAAACGTTAATTTGTATATTATGTACACAATTACGGCTATTATGAGTCCAATTGCATAACAATTATAATCGTTGTAAACTTCCATTACATCAAAATTAAAATTTATTTGTTTGATATTTGAGGCAAAAAATGGTTTTATATTAAGAAAAAATTATTAATTTAATTCATTTCGTCATTTCCTCCAAATGGAAACGTTTTCATATAAAATGCTTTCAAAATATTAATTTATTTATGATATGAAAAAATTAATAGCGATTAATAATAACCAATTTGTGATTCACATTGAAATTAATATCCAATTCAGATATTTATAGTTTTACGTTTCGTTTCACTTCATATTTATTGCAATTAATTTTTTATTTCCATATTTTTATAATAACTTATTATACATGCAACATTTATAAGTATTTATTAACCAATTAAATTCAGAATATATTATTAATATATTGAATGGCACTGTTATAACGATATACACTTAAAATTATTTAATTATTTTTATCATAAAAACCTAGAATTATTATATAACGTATTTTTATCACGTGCAAATATTGTATTATAGATTGCACATAATATATATTTTGTAACTTTTAAAATGAAAACAAACTCAAATTTTTGTTTCATTTCTCTATAACTTTCACTATTTAATGGATTGAAACACATGTGTTAAACCAGATAATCAGGTTTGAAATAGTGTTGAGGGGAAGAGACAAATATTGTAATACAGGTCATCCTATCTTATAAATATAAATCAGTTTAAAATGTTTAGATACAGTATTTTACACATTGTCAATGTGACAATATCAGCATAATTGCAACAAATAACTCGTGCACATAAAACAATGTACTTTTCAAAAATGATAAAACACTAGAAATAAACGTTAATATTTAAAAAATCTCAAGAAATTAAGAGCAGTTTTTTGTAAATTCGGACACAAATTTGAAAATGAATAAAGAAAAAACGAGTGAAAGATCTGGAAGTGGTGTAAACAATGACACCAAAAATGTCAATAATTTAGGGGCCGATGAATTGTCGGTCAGAAGTCTAGATGATGTTCACGTGAATGGGAAGAAGGACCCTAAAAGTAGTGCTGTATTTGTTTCCCAAAGTTTGGAGACTTTAGACTTAAGTGTATTAACAGTTAGAGTCAGAGATATTTCCTTCAATTATGGGAGGATTCTAACCAAAGGCAATGTCTTAAATCACATCAACATGTCTTTGCCTAAGAGTGCCATGTATTCAGTCTCTCTCTCTCTCTCTCCCTCAGCATTGGATCGACGCCTACCGTCGGCTCATCGAGTATAAGGAATGGCGGGCTGTGGACAATGGCTACGGCCAGCGATACTCTTCTCTGTTCGCCACCACTTTATGCATAGAAAATATTATGAGTTGTTATCAAAATCGTGGTCTTCTCCTGTTTCGCCAATAGCACAAAATGCTGCCAAACTCTGGCCAAACATACAAATCAAATACAGTATTACATGAGAGCAAAACACATGACAATCCAATCTCTCTCTCTCTCTCTCTCTTACATATAACTAATTTGGTGTCATTTGTCCAGTTATGGACTGTTAGGCCCGAGTGGTTGTGGAAAGACAACACTTCTTAAAGTAATATTGGGTTTAAAACGGCCACAAAAGGGTACGATTGAGGTAAACGGTAGACACCCTCTGCACCCTTTGAATCATATCCCAGGCATTGGCGTTGGATTCCAACCACAAGTATATTCTTCTGCAAACAAAATTAACGCTTATTTATTAGTTATGATTGAAACACAAATTTATAGGAAACGGCTTTATATCAGGAGTTTTCAATCCGGGAGACACTTAACTATTTCGCACAGATCTATGGCATGGATGAGAGCTACAGAATCAAAGCTTATTTATTAGTTATGATTGAAACACAAATTTATAGGAAACGGCTTTATATCAGGAGTTTTCAATCCGGGAGACACTTAACTATTTCGCACAGATCTATGGCATGGATGAGAGCCTTAAAACAAAGCGAATTAATTTTCTCATTAACTTCCTATCGCTTCCCAATCCGAACGCTAGAGTCAAGAATTTGAGGTAAAAAATACACTTAACTATTTCGCACAGATCTATGGCATGGATGAGAGCCTTAAAACAAAGCGAATTAATTTTCTCATTAACTTCCTATCGCTTCCCAATCCGAACGCTAGAGTCAAGAATTTGAGGTAAAAAAATGTGTAAAAAAGTTTTGCACACAAATAAAATGCAATTATATTTTCTATGCATAAAGTGGTGGCGAACAGAGAAGAGTATCGCTGGCCGTAGCCATTGTCCACAGCCCGCCATTCCTTATACTCGATGAGCCGACGGTAGGCGTCGACCCAATGCTGAGGGAGAGGTAAGATTGGGTTTTGTCATGTGTTTTGCTCTCATGTAATACTGTATTTGATTTGTATGTTTGGCCAGAGTTTGGCAACATTTGGTGCTACTGGCGAAACAGGAGAAGACAACGATTTTGATAACAACTCATTACGTAGAGGAGGCGCGAAGGGCTCACGTGATTGCGCTCATGAGGTCGGGTCGTCTTCTGGTGGAACAGTCGCCGCAATATCTTCTCAATCACTTCGATGTGATTACGTTAGAAGAAGTGTTTCTAAACGTGTGTAGGGCTCAGGAGTCGGACTTCAAAGCGAATCCATTGCCCAAGAGTTTTATTGAGACAATCGATGAGAAACAGATTGAATTGAAAAGAAGTGAATCCTTTGTAACGCAAAAAAATTTGCATTTGAATCCCAGTTATTGGAAACGCGGCAAAAGTCTTGTCAAAAAAGATTACATAAGACTCACCAGAAATCTATTGTATGTCTTAAGAGTTAGTGTTTAAACAGTTAACTAATTATCATTTGTTTTCCTATATTTTCTGCTAATTATGACCCGAAGAATATTGGTCTTCCAAATCATGATCCCAACCATATCGATGACACTGTTTTGCTTATGTGTGGGTCGGGTGCCTCTCAACCTAAAAGTGGCCGTTTATAACGAAGAGGTCCTTTTAGGCAGCAATTTAAGCCATACGTGTATTTATAACAATCTGAGCCGTTATTTCATAGACGCCATCGACAGAGAACACGTCCAATTGGTATATCATTTTTTGAAACATGGTTTTTATAATTATGTTTAAAATGGTAATCATATTTGACTACAGATTAACTTCAATACACGCGACAAAGCGTTGAAATCAGTAGAAACGGGAGAGACCTTTGGGGCGCTGGTCGTCGACCGGGACTTTAGTTACGCGTTGTGTAACCGAATGAACAACAAAACTAACATCAAAAAGAGCACCATTTCATACTTTGGAGACTTCACTGGTCTTTAACACACATTTTACTTAATTATGTCTCTGTTTTAATTCAAACTCTAAATCTTGTTTTAACAGATATAACAATATTTGATTCAATAATCAAAGTTATGAACGACGCTGTTATGACATTTTCGGCAGATGTCAGTCGACTTCTTAAGCCTATTGTACAACCGTTACAATCGATAGATCCCGAGGTTTTTTCCCCGATATTGGCAATTGAAAAGCCAATCTACGGGTCGGCAAAGGCCTCGTTTAGGGACTTTATGGCTCCAGGAATGATGATCTCCATTGTATTCATTCTGGCCGTCGGTCTGACAGCCCTATCATTTGTGACAGAAAAACGGGAATCACTTCTCGACCGCACGCTTATGGCCGGAGTCAAGATCTATGAGATACTCATTTCGCAGATCTTTATCCAAATATTTGTGCTTTTAATTCAAATACTGTTATTAATGGTAATCATATTTTCCATCTTTCAAATCGCAAACCACGGATCCATACCATTGATTGTTGTTCTGCTTCTGCTGCAAGGCGTCGCCGGAATGACATACGGTTTGCCAAACATTTTGTTATTAAAATAAATGCAATTTTTTCATAAATTATCTCACAATTGTTGACATATCCATAGGTTTACTGATATCATGTCTCACACCCGATGAACAGTCGGCTCTAATGGTAGCTTTTGGCTCATTCTTTCCCATATTATTACTTTCGGGTGTGTTTTGGCCCATAGAAGGCATGGTTTATGGCTTTCAAAAGGTTACGTAATTAAATGGCGTTTGAGACCGGCAGTATAGTTACTCTCTATAATACGTATTCCCTACCCCAAAAGAGTTGTGGTTACAAACCGAGCCTAAACGGAGAAGAAAATGTACCTAACATTATAAGAACATCGGATCAGTTATAGTGACAACACTTTAATTATAAGTTTTATTTATAAATATAAACACCATTTTTATCTCTTAATTAAAATTGTAATTTAATAATTCAATGATATGCCATGAATTAAATATGTTTTTTGTTTAATACTGTTATAAAGATTTTGACTTGAATTTTATATTTATCTAAACAGTGTTTATAAAGTTATTTAACTGGTTTTATATTATTATAATTTTAATAAAATTACTGAATTCATATTTAATTAAATGATGTAATTTAATCACTATATACAGTATTGCATTTAAAAATGATAAATATGAAACACAAATATTTATTACAAATTGCAGTCATTTTAATATTTCATGGTAAGAATTAGGTTTCTAAAAATCTGAATTATAAAATATCCATGTTTAATTCACTATTAACTACTCTACAAACATTGAATTTGATTAAATTAATTTTGTATAAATTTAAAGTCAATTTATATTATATTCGATGCTACTGGGTCTAAGTTACGACGTTAGACTTTTACTTGTCCTAGGCGTACTCACCATGGTTTTGTCCGTGTATAAACTACCTAGGGCCCGGATATTAAAGTTTAAACGTGGTTCCAAAGGTATTTTCGTGACGTCCGGCGCCGATAAGGACAAACAGGTGACGGTTCCCAACTGTGGGGTCACGGATGCCGTTAAGAGGCGTATAGTCGGCGGCACTGATGCCTCTAACGGTCAGTTCCCGTGGGCTGTCCTCATAGAGACCAAAGGAATCCCATACTGTGCCGGAACTATACTCAATGAGCGCTGGATCATAACCGCAGCCCATTGTTTCAAAGAGTAATTCAATGATTACTTTATCATAACTTATAATTTATGGTTAATTTTTAAATGTATAGACGAAAAACACCCACCGGTCTGACCATAAGAGCTGGATCTATAAGTAATTGTTTTGACACTTATTTCTACGATTATGCGATTATAATAATAGTTATTGAGTTTCAGGGAGTAATGAGGGCTCAGTATATAAAGTATCCAAAATAGTTATCCACGAGAAATACAATTGGGACGGAATGGAGAACTCGGATCTGGCGTTACTTAAGACCGCACATCCCATACGAATGGAGAGAAAGGGAACCACTGATATGGTCAACGGGGTATTCAATAACAAAATAACCATTTTCAATTAACCCTTTATAACAGCATTTGTGCCGTCATATGATGGTAAGGTATGCCTACCCCCTACGCTGAAAGAGGAGCCTCAGGGGACCAACATATTAGTGGCCGGTTGGGGCCGCACGGGTGAGAAGGAGTCGCCCTCGCGTTCGCTCAAATACGTTAAGCTCGATGTCGTGGACATTACAAAATGTGCCCAACAGTTCGCTTTCCAAATGGAGGGCTTTCCCGATGGTTACAAGATTTACCGATCTCAATTATGCGCCTATACAGCCGGCAAAGATGCCTGTCTTGTATGATATCAGCATTTAATTGAATTTAATTAATTTATACATCGATTTATCATAATTTAACAGGGTGACTCCGGTGGGCCTGCTATACAATATCACGTAATAGACAATTGATCATGTTTGCATGATATATTCAGTATTTTTTTAACCATGATGAATGCTAAGCACATGTATATATTTTATACAGGAAAATAAGGCAATATTGGTTGGTGTGGTGTCCTTTGGGATCGGTTGTGCGAGTATACGCAAAAATTCCTGTTATTAAATAATTATATAAAACTGGCGGCAAAAGCACAGTAAAGTAAACATGATTAATATTCAAAAATAGTAAAAAAGTCGACTTATAGGCCCGCAAATATGTTTTCATAGGGTAAAATGGCTAACCTAGCGCAGTCATATGGATTGATATTTGCTCAACAAAACATCTATGTCAATTAGCTAGATTTTTGTACTAATTGTTATTAATGCAATTTCGCATGTATATAAATAGATTGAATGTTATTTTAACATTAAAAATGATTATAAGACAGAAAGAGTTTAACAAGTTCTGACTCTTACCTTAAGATTATTCAGTTAATTTTTTATTTAAAAATTATAGAAAAAATTATATTCATATTATAATTGACAAAAAGTTAAGAATTGTCTTATTCTTTGTCTCATATATTATTATTTAAATTTAGTTATTTTTAATAAATTTATATATTCTCAAAGAATATAAAAGTGTTAAAAAGATTTATTACAATAATTTGATTTATTGGTTTAATTCATATGTACAGTCTTTCTCTCTCTCTCTCTCTCTCTCTCTCTCTCTCTCTTTTTATTAATATATTTTGACCGCCGTTTTCGTGTCATTTCATTTGTACTAATTATAAGTTTTTATCATTTTTTCAGCTGAATATCCGGGCGTTTATACAAAAGTATCCCATTTTACCGATTGGATCGCTAGTCATATGGATTGATATTTGCTCAACAAAACATCGATGTCAATTAACTAGATTTCTGTACTAATTGTTATGCAATTTCGCATGTATATAAATAGATAGGATGTTATTTTAACATTAAAAATGTTCATATAAGACAAAAATTAGTCAAACAACTTCTAGTAACATTCTAACTCTTACCTTAAAATAATTCATTTAATTTTACATTTAAAAATTATAGAAAAAATTTATATTATTAATTAGCAAAAAGTTAAGATTTGTCTTATTCTTTGTCTCGTATATTATTATTATTATTTAAATTTAGTTATTTTATAATAAATTTATATATTCTCAAAAAATATAAAAGTGTTAAAAAGATTTATTAAATTTACAATAATTTGATTTATTTTATTGGTTTAATCCATATGTGCAGTCTCTCTCTCTCTCTCTCTCTCTCGCTCTCTCTCTCTCGCTCTCTCTCTCGCTCGCTCGCTCTCGCTCGCTCTCATCCATGCCATAGATCTGTGCGAAATAGTTAAGTGTCTCCCGGATTGAAAACTCCTGATATAAAGCCGTTTCCTATAAATTTGTGTTTCAATCATAACTAATAAATAAGCTTTGATTCTGT